GATTTACAAATGGATTTGAAATTGGGGAAAGGATGCAAAGTGGGTCAGTATCACTGACCAGATGGGGAGGGCACTGTATCACTAAAAGCTGTGATCAGTCAAGGGTTCCACAGAGAAAATCAGGTCAGGCATGAGTGGTTCTAACCTTCACAGTGCATCAGCATTACCAAGAGGTTTCTAAATGACACATAGTGAAGCCACATTCCAAGCCAAATCAAGCGGGGCCCAGGGGGATGAGCCCAGGAATCAGCAGTGTTTCAAAGTTCCCCAGGTGACACCAGTGCATAGTCAAGACGAAGAACCTTGGGATTGGAGGAAATGAAGGTTTCACTGAGGCCATGTCTGGTGCTCACGAAGCCTTAGGAATTAGTTCCCCTCTGGTTCTAGGTCATTCTAGGTCTTGATGCAGGGGTCTTAAGGGGAGATTTTTTGGAAGACAGGAAGATGAGGCCTTTTAACCCTAAAATGGCTAGAGCCTTGACTTTCTAGTTATTATAAAGTATTCGCAAATTTATAGACCAAGGAAGTAGAATGGTAATTTCCAGGGTCTAGAGGGAAGGGAAATAAGGAGTGGGGGTATTTTTTAAATTTGGGAAAATTAAAAAAGTTCTGGGGACAAATGGTGATGATACTTACCTAACAGTGTGACTGCATTTAATGACACTGCAGTAGGCTTAAAAGCATTTAAAATGTCAAGGCATTTAAAATGTCCATTGCTGAGACAAAGTACCTAATAATACATACAAATTAAAGGAGAAAAAGTTTATTGTGGCTCACAGTTTCAGAGGTTCAGTCCATGGTCAGCTAGCTCTAAGATAAGAATATCATGGCAGAAGGACACGGCAGAGGAAAGCTGCTCACCTGGTGACACTCAAGAAGAGAAAGCAGGAAGACCAGAAAAGAGGAAGGGGCCAGAGACTAGAAATAGTCTTCGTGGCTGTGCCCTCAGGACCCATCCAAACACACTCACAGTGTGTTTCACTAATCTCTTAAGCATCTGTCATGCCAGTTAAGTTGACCATTAAGAATAATCATGACAAGTCAGCCTGGTGGCACATGCCTACAATACCAGCACCCTGGGAGGCTGAGGCAAGAGGATCATGAGTGCAAACTCAGACTGGGAAATTTCAAAACTTAGTAAGACACTGTCTCAAAAAAAAAAAAACATTAAAAGGGCTGGAGATGAGACAGAGAGAGAGAGAGAGAGAGAGAGAGAGAGAGAGAGAGAGAGAGAGAGAATATAACTGTGATATTATATGTGTATACATATTATAAAGAAAGATATAATATATAATAGCTTACCCCTGGGAAGGAAGTATGGTTCAATGTAAGAAAAATAATCAATATGATATACCACATCAGTAAAATGAAGGAAAACATAAAAATCACATGATTATTTCAAGTGATGTCTAAAAAAGTATTTGACAAGAGCCTGTACACCTTTTCTCAATAAAAACACTTAGAAAACTAGAGATAGAAGTGAATTTCTTCCATATGACAAAGGGCATTTATGAAAACCATCAGCTACCATTATACTCAAGGGTGAAGGACCAAAAGCTTCCTCCTCAGATGGGGAACAAAAGTGTCGATGTCTGCTTTTGTTGCTGCTATTTAACATTGTACTGAAAGTTTAAGCGAGAACAGAAAATAAGAAGGGCATCTAACTGGAAAAGAAGAAGTAAAAATCATCTCTATTCACAATTGACATGATCTTCTAGATGGAAAACCCAAATAACCCACAAACTATTCTAGAGGTACAAGATCAACTTAAAAAAAATCACTGGTGCTTCTATATCCCAACAATGTACAATTCCAAATAAGAAATTAAACAACTTCACAGAGGAAAACTTTCAGAGCATTTGAGGACTAGACCTCAGAATGGTCTTGTGTCCTTTGAAGTGGAAATATCTTGTTATTAATGGTCCTTGGCAGAGGCATAAGCATCCATGCCTTTAATTTTTCATGCATACTAGTGCATCTCATATTAAAATTAAGTAGAGCAAATACATTTGATGAGGATGGTAGTGCAGACTGCACAGGACAAGCGTGAGAAGCTGAACTACATCTACGGACCCATCAGGGCGCCCTACATCTCGGCCATCCTGCCTCCCCTCACGTTGCAAGAGTCACAGGAAACTGGAAAACAAAATCCCAGGCCCCTTGGAGGAAATCAGGTCTGAGTCAGCCTCCCAAGGAGGTGGAAGGAACAGAGGAGGCCCCGGGAAAGTATTTACTAAGAGGGTGTTATTCACTTAAAAGTTGGTGGAGTTTTTTTTAATCAAAAAAGGAACTAAAAGTTTATTTATTTATTTAGGTTACCAGGAACCAGAAAGATGGCATGTTTGCCAAGTGTTGCCACATTTTGTAGATCTCTGTTTCACAGACTAAAAGTTGGTGGTTGGTTCTATCACAGAAATAGCTTTTCTTACCCTTGCTGTTTTTCTGTTCCTCTCCTTGCTAACAGCTTAGTAACCTCTGCTAAGAGCTGTGGATACAAACACCAGGGAGAGAAAGCTGAGTGCAAGGAGGCAACTTGCTAAAAGGGAATGCGCTGTGGACAGGGAGCCAGAAGACCTGGGCTCCAGGCTGGCCTCTGCAGCTGTGTGGCCAGGAGCCCAGCCCTTCCTTCAGGACGCCTTGATTGTCCTCTGTGAAGGGGAGGAGGCAGGGCTGGGCGGGGAGGGTGGAGATCCCTTCTACTTTAATATTCTAGTTTTTCATAAACAAACCCCTGAAGAATTCAAAAGAACTTTAAAAGACCGAGGAAGTCACATTGTTTGAAAATAGATGAAAACAGAGACAAATTTGAAAAGATGAACAGGAGGTTTTTTACTTTTTTTCCCCAGGGCCAAAGCTGAGCTGATAGCAGAGGATCACATGGACTTTTAGTGCATGGGGGTCATATTAGAAAAGGGAAGGACAGCCAAACAGCGTTCCTGTCTCACCAGGGAAATCAGATCCCAGCAGATCCCAGCAATCAGCCTCATTATAGATCACTTCTTGGGGGAAGGAAACCACAAAACAAACAACTCCCTAAGAATGAATAAATGGGAATTTGAGATAAGAGGCTTCTGGGTGGCACTTAGATTTCTTTTCCCCCACTCTTACTAACTTGGTTTTTCGTTTTGTTTTTGGTTTGTTTCATTTTGTTTGTTTGAGACAGGGTCTCTCTACGTAGCCCAGGTTGGCTTCAAACTTGTGTCAACTCTCCTGCCTCAGCCTCCCCAGTATTGTGATTACAGACATGTAATTACAGGATTACACCATATACTGCCAGTCTTACTAATTTGGAAAACATTTATAAACTGCCTACTGTGCACTGGGTATCACAGGTAGTCAGACAGGGTGTTTGGTTATCAGACATTCATAGAGAAAAAAAGAATGTGTGCAAATACCTAAGTATCTAAAATACAAAGCAAAATGTAAGACCTGCTCCAAGGGTGTTCGAATGAACTGCCGGAATACTTCTGATGAGGGGCTTCTTTCTTAGCAGTGGAGCTCAGGAAATGGATTCTACAGGTTAGTGCAAAGATCTGAAAAACCAGCTCTCCTTCCAGCAGTAACTATTGCCCTGGTTCTCCTTTTTGTTTGTTTGTTTGTTTTTGTTCTTGGCCCTGGTTCTGTTTTACAGAAGCTGAGGAACTATTTGCTTTCTGATCATCCTGAGAGCTGGCCACACAGCCAGGCTAAGAACTACAAACTGATTGAAAACTTCCCCTAGAAAGCAACAGAGAAAGCACATACAGTATAAAGCTCCTTCCAGAAGAGAAAGTCCACAGTTACAGGCATTCTCTTTTCAAAGTAAATCTAGAGATGCACCAAACGAACTCAAAGAGGGGTTTAAAAAATTCATTAGAGAGCTGGAGTCACATGGATATTTGGCCTACAGAGGTTAAGCTCTGTGTTGAAGTATTCCTGCCCATTATAAATGAGTTGCAGGGGACCAAAGCGGGGAAGCAAGAGATCACCCACAAAATAAAAACCCAGGCAAGCCCAGGGCTCTCCCAGAACAGTGACCACAGGCCACAGGCTTCTCGGCAGTGAATTTGAACGAGCCAATGGCATCCCAATCACCGAAACAGGAAGCCAGATAAACAGCATGTTATCACGAGGGGATCCAGTGCTTCCCTTAAGCCAGAGCCAGCTGCACCCTGTGACTGTCCTAACAAAGTGCCATTGACACACCAGCTGATGTTCCTGCGTCTGGCTAAAGGTGGTGGAGCTGATGTAGAGCCCTCTCTGCTGAGTGGACATTACCCTAGCACACTACCCTGCAACGCACCACCCAGTCCTGGCCAGTTCCTGCCTTCTGTTTCTGCTCTCTGAAGACCTGCCTAAGCATTCACCCCGTGTCCCGTTTTCATGGACCCTGAGAATTAGCAGGGATCACTGGGCCCGGGCACCTTCGCCCTTAAGTGTGCGCCTCGTATTCTGCTCACCAAACCCCTCCTTTCCCCTCCCTCCTCTTCTCCGGGAAGCTTTCTTTGCTCCCAGACAACCTGGGCAAATGCCAGAGAACACCGCATGGGGATACGACCAGAGGGTGCTGTGCTCCTCAGGGCATCCTGGGACCCAGCGAACACATTTTCTGGAGTGACGCGCAAGGTCACCTGCCCCAGCTGTCCCACTAGGTCCTGGTAGTGATGGGAACAGAGTTAACTTGCTGTTCTTGGTACCCCTGATTATAGCACCTCAAGGTACTTTAAATCGCAGGTATTTCACGTGCAGGAAGTTGAGGCTCAGAAGGAGTGGACGGTCCTGGAGAGTAACCTCCAGGATCAGATGCACAGTCTGTCGGGACAGCTGGGCACACCCCTCCCCCGGAAGCCACTCGCATCTCCCCAGTTATTCCAGCGCTTCTCGGGAGTCCAGCCCGCAGCCTCCCCGGGGACACTAGACGCTCGCCCCTGGGGCTCGCCCGGCGCCTCCGGACCCGCTGGGGTGGTCCTGAGGTCGCAAAGTGCGGAGCGGCAGACCCCGCGCCCGCGCCCGCCACTCACCCGCGCGTGTGTCCTCCCGGGCTCCGGGTCCGCGCCGCAGCCGCTGTCGCCGCGCCGAGACGCACATCGCCGGAGCGGCTCGGGGACGGGCGTCCTCTCCTCGCCGCCGGAAAGTTTCCCGGGGCGCCCTGGCCGCGCCGGCCCCTCGCACAGTCTCAGCGTGCGCAGCGCGCCCCGCTCTCGGGCCTCTCGCAAGGGCGGCCGCCGGCCCCGGCCCCACAATGAGGAGGCGGCGGCATCCTGAACAAAGTGCCGGCCCCGCGGCCGGGCGGCGGGGCGGAGCCTCGTGACCCGCTGCCCCGGGCACACGCCGGCGGCCCGCGCGGCGGCCGGGGGAGGGGCGCGGGCCGGGGCGGCGGGAGGGGGCGCAAAGCTGCGGGTCGCCCTGCCCCCGCCCTCGTGCCAGTTTAACCCGCAGAGGGGCGGAGGCCTGGGTCCCTTCCAGACTTTGTCATTGGAAAGCTATTCCCGTAACCCTTTCCTGCCTTCGCCGCGCGCCCCGCCTCCCCGGTCGGCCACAGAAAGGCAGCTGCGGGGTGGTGGGGCTGGGGCCGGAGCTGTCAGGGCAGGAAGCCTCTGCACAATTGAGCTTTTCCTTTGCTAGGGACCTGCCGCTGCCACTTGCAGGCCAGGATGCCCTCCCTCTTCCCCACACGTCCTCTAGTTGTCGGTGGTCTGCGGTTCTTTAGGAGAAGGGGACAGATGGGTCGTGAGCAACCAACCGTACCTGCTTCTGACTCCACTGCCCGCCGCCTTCTTCTCTGGCCCCTGTGAGTATCCCGCTCTCTGACCTGGAACCCTTGGATGCAGAGGACAGGAGAGGCCCAGAAGTGCCTGGCAAATAGTAGGTGCTCAGTAAAACAAATCACTTTTCTCCACCTTCCAGACCCACTCACAGGTCCTCCTTTTTTCAGAGAAGTGGAGTTGGGGGAGTTTGGAGGGGGAAGGAGAGAGGAAATGACAGTATCTTAGGGTAGTGTATGGGAGTAAGATTCTCAACCAGGACCTAGTACAATCTGAAGTGCTGGGAGTACAAATGTGTCCTCACCTGGGAGGTTCCAGGTTCTACACAAAAAGGCAGATGGAGTTTGGCGGTCTGTGCTCCTGAGGCAGACTGAGCTGTATGGGAAAATGGAGTAACTGTGTCCAAGGATCTGGCATTTTGGCATTTTGGACTGGACTCCCCCCCCCCCCAGTCAACAAACGTGAGGACTGATTTCTTTCAAAGGGTTAGGGTTGGAAGTTGGGAGATGGGGGGGGGGAGCAAAACGCTTTCTCCTTAGGAGACCTCCATGCTCTTTTCCAGCCAGATCAGCCAGCCGGCCGGGAGCACAGCCAGGATTAAAACCCCTGAGCCCTGCCTGAGCCCCTGTAAGTACGTCAGTGCAGTGGCTGTGGACACAGGGAGAGATATGGCAACACTAGACAATTACTTTCAAGACATTCCCAATGGGTCAGAAAAAAAGATTTTCATTTTATTTTTTTTTTTACCACAAAGAGAATGAGCTGGAGTTTTGGGGGGTTTTTGTTTTTTGTTTTTGAGACATAGCCTCACTATATAGCCCAGGCTGGCCTCGATCTCACAGTGATCCTCCTGCCTCTGCCTCCCTCCCAAGTGCTGGGATTACAGACATGCACCATCATACCCAGCTGAAGTGTTTTTTAGTGGGGTAAGGGGACTGCAGAGACCCCTGAGATGAGCCCCATCCCCGTATAAAATAGTTAAAAGTGAAGCCTCTTAAGGGAGATTGCCTTGACCTACTATTTATAAGCCACAAGCAGTTGAACAATATCTTCAACCATTGGCCCCCTTGGTTTTTTCATCTGTAAAATGGGATAGAAATAGTGTAAGAATTACTGGGAGAATTAAATGAGGTTCTGTAGGCAACACTTAAAATAGTGCCTGGCAAATACTCAATAAACTTTAGCTGCTACTTTGATCTCTGATAACCCTGTATCCAATTTGGCATTTGATGATGTGTTAGCAGGAATCTTTTCTTGCTTTTCAGAGTCTTCTAGGCCTGCACAGGGGAACCTGATGCAAATGGACACTAGAAGTTCGACTGGTCCTGACTTTTTGTGAGGCCAGGTGCCTGGCCCCCATCTGTCCACACTGCTAATGTCACAGGTATAATGCTGTTCTCTGAGGGCTGACCAGAGTGGAAAAGGGCAAATGCTCTATGGATGAAGTCTTTTCCATATGTATGTAGGATCCATATTGCTCTCCCATGTAAGAGTAGGTGGTCATACAAGTCCTCCATGACCCAGCTCCAAATGTCCCAATCACAGCCCTCCCACAGTGAACTTGGACTTGTAAGCAAATATAAGAGGAGGCAGATGGGTTGGGAGAGGGAATGAAAGAGGGGTCAGTCTGGTTGTGGTGACAGAGGACATGAAGGCTCCAGAAATGGTATAAAACCGTGGCAGAAAGAAGCCAGAACTGTGGACAGAGTACAGTTTGGATAGGAAACAGGATCCCTGCCTGCCCATCCCAGTAGTGGTTTCTGCCAAATGTCTACCTTGTGAGTAGTTTTTGTCTGAACATAATGATGATTCAGTTGTTCTGAATCAAGCAAATGGATTTTCCTTAAATATGAAAATCAATAAGAGGTAAAGGCAAGGCCCTGACTCTGGGGACAGAGGGTGGAGTGAGCCAGAAAAGGACTAGGGAGTGAATGGTGGATAAATGATAGAAGGAAAAGGATTCAGGCTCACTGCAGGGGACCTTGGCATTGTCACTGAGTCCCAATCCCACTGAGAATCCAGCCCTGTGGATATCACTGTAGCACCCTAAAACCCAACAGCTTCCATGCTGCCCATCCCCCACTCCCAGAAGCAATCCTGCTTCCAGGCGAGGATATTGTTAACAAGAGGATTAATGTCAATGTGACAAATGGGTTTTAAAAAAATCATCCCAGAAGCCCATAGTCACTCCCATGGAGACTCAGACCTGGCCGGAGATCGAATGAGAACTTCAGGAGACCCAAGAAGCATAGCAAACTCTTTTTTAGCTTTAGCCTGGTTTCCTTGAGGACTCTGCCTGTTTTCCTGGCACCTTGAGCTCTGTGGACTAATGCTAATTTGTTTCACAGCTTGGATTATCTGATGTGAGACTGCGGGGATTTGAACAGAATCAGAGCTTCTGCATTTCATATGACCCTCCTGACTTGCCCAGGGCTTGCAGAGCAGTTTGTAAGGCACTTTGCAGGGATAGGAAGATAGTACACTGCTTTATTTTCTTGAGCATGTAACAAACGTCATTAGCACTCCTGAGGTGGAATTGGAGGAGCTTCTGACCTCCTCCTGCAAAGCCAGTGGAAAAACACTGGGTCAAGCTGCAGAGGACCTCACTGTGCCTCTCTTGTGCCGCCTGCTGAAATGCGTCACCCCAGTTTGCTCATGGGTAAAAGGGGTGTTGACACCCAGGGGACAGCCATATCCACCTGCCAAAGCTGTGGTGAGTATCCAGTGAGATAATGGAAGAGAAAATGGTTTACATAATGTGACTCAAGTCTAAGCAGAAGTGTGATGATCACGTGGAAATCATCAGCTTGCACTCCAGCCACACCCCATTGCCCACCTCAGGCCACTTTATCCTGGCTGTGGGCTCAGTGCTTGAAAGCTCATTTCTGAGTGACACAAATTTGTTCACCTATAGCCCTTGTCCTTTCTGATTGATTAGCCAGCCAGGCAGCTGCTGGCGCTATGGGGTGGGGCAGGGCCAGTCTGCTATCGTGCCATGGGGCATGTTGAGGCTTTAAAAAGGGCTCCCTGCTGGTTGCTGCAGTTTACAAGGACCCAGGAGAAATAGCCCATGGGGAGAAGCTGGCACAGTAATGAATGTTTTACAAGAGCAGCAAGTCACTTCCTTATCGGGAAGATGCCGTTTCTCCCTAGCTCAGTTACCAGGAAGTGAGATGAGCTGAGAGGCAGTGCAGTGTTTTTCCAAAGATGGCCTTTGAAGAGGAGTGTTTCTTTAAGAGACCAGGAGAGTGGAGATGGGGTTGGCAGAGAGAAGTGGGCCCTTTTAAAAAGCCTGGCTCTGACTGTGCAATCCTGGGGAGGACAATGGTAGTCATATTTATATAATGCTTGTCATGCAACAGCAGCTACTCTAAGCACTTTCCTTAACCCATTTATTTTCACAGCAAGCCTATGTAACAGGCTTCAATTTTTGTCCTTTTGTTACATTTAAAATTTTTTTTAATTTTAACTTTTTCTTAAGAGATGAGTCATTATGTTGCCCAGGCTGGCATCAAGCTCCTAGGTTCAAACCATCCTCCTATCTTAGCTTCTCGAATAGCTGGGACTATAAAATGCAGACTACTACACTCAGTCATAGTTATCACTTTGGATTTCATTTTATGAGGGAAGAAGTTGAGGCCAAGTATTTTCCTGGGTTTAACAGCTAGTAAGTGATATAGCCAGAATCTCCAAGCCATCCGTCTCTGTTGCTTTCACCTCTTCACATATATAGGAGGGGACAGTCCATGGTATGGGGGGATAGTGGTGAAGGGCTCTGGCATTTACTAGCCTTGGCAAATTTTTTCTTTTTTTTAAAATAATGTTTACTGAAAAGCAACTGTACTTCTATTTCATGGTGACGAACAAACAATATATCATTTACAAAAGTATTAAAATGTGAAATAATGATAAATCTCACCACAAAATTTATAAGACCTATGTACAGAAACCTAGAAAACATTAAAGAGAAATTAAAGATTTCAAGAAACATTTTTGTCTTTTCAACATCTTTACTGGGTATAATTTACACACTATAAAATTTGCCCATTGTAAGGATATGATATTAGGGTTGCAGTAAATTTACAGTTTTACAATTATCACTACAACCAAGTTTCAGAATAGTTCCAAAGTTTTCTCATTCAATGCATGTTTTAACTTGTTTCAGTTTCCCCATCTGTAAGATGAGAATACTGTCCTTATTATGAGCATAAAATTAACAAGGCAATGGGATGATGGTGATGATTATATTCTCTCATTATTATTATTATTATATAAACTTTTAGAGTCAACAGAAGTTTGAATAACTACTTAATTTCACCTTTTCCCTTAACGGATAAAGAATCTAGAAGCCAAGTTGCCCAGCAATTTGTCAATTAAGGATATGCAGTAAATTTGGTGGCAGGGTTGAAACTGGAGCCCAAGTCTCTTGGTTGGTATATCTGTGCTTTCTTGTCTCCAAAGAGACTTTTCACCCAAGTTACAGGGATGTCACTGTGCAACACCACCCCTACCTTTGTGGGTGCCTCCAGAGTGATACTGACCAAAGGCATGAACTCCCAGACTGCTTGTGTCGGACCTCCCAGCACTTTGGCGTTGGAGCAGGGAACACAGTCATGGTGCTGAAGCAGGGGACAGGATTCAGTGTGGAAACTGAGGCAAGAATGTTAATTGTCAGGGCTGGGGATTTAGTTTAGCAGCATAAGCGACTGCCTGGCAAGTGCAAGGTCATGAGTTCAATCCCCGGTACCAAAAAAAAAGAATATTAATTGTCAGAACAGAGGATGCACTGACTCCAAGAATCCAGGACACAGCCAGTCCAACAGTTAGGAGACCCCATGCAGTTCCTGGGCAAGGCCAGCTTCATGGGTTTGTGACCTGTTTAGTCTCACAATGCCCTATACTTAAAAGGGCTTCCTCCTTGATTTAATGCTTGCAGTCTTGAAATTTTTCATACTTTCAAGCAAAGCTCCTACAGTTTTGTTTTGCATAGAATTTTATAAACTATAGAATCATTTTCACTTACAGAACAAAGAGCAGAGCCCAAGCTAAATTCCTTAAGGAAGAGTAGCTTTCTGTCCGGTACCTGTTTACATACAAACCCTGTATACATATGACACAGCCAGAGTCTTCATTCTGAGTGTTATAAGAAATAAGAGCTAGGCATTGTGATATAGGCCTGGAGTCCCAGGCACTGTGGAGGCTGAAACAGAAGAATCACTTGATCACTGGGGGTTCCAGGTCAATATGGGCAACACAGTAAGGCCCCATCTCAAAAAAATTGCAGGACCAATTTGCATAGTGTGTTTCAATTTATGTCAAAAGATGCCCCATAAAATCACATGTGTGTGTAAAAACTTTTTCAATGTCCACAAAGACACTACAAACTGATAGGAATGGTCACTTTTGGGAGAGTCATCAAAGGAATCACTAATTTTTTTCTGTGTGTTTGGGTTGTTTATTTTGATCAAGGAGAATGTATCCATATATTACTTTTATAATTGTAAATATAATTATAAGATGCTCCTAAAATATATTTTGCAAACATTTGTATATTAATAAATATTCTTTTTATTAGTACCAGTTTACAATACAGAATGTTGGTACTCTTTGTGTGGAGTTGTACATTTACATAACACATCTTAATTCATTTTTACACCCCCTTTCTCTCCCCACCATGTTTTGATCCCCTTTCTATCTCCCTACTTCCTATTATTTTTTATTTTGCTCTTTAGTTATAATTTGGTCATATGAGAGAAACCATGTGATACTTACACTTGTATGTCTGATTTATCTTACTTAACATTATAGTCTCTAGGTTCATCCATTTTCCCATAAATGACTTCCACTTTTTCTTTATGCAGAGTAGCTTTTTTTTTTATCTACTCATCTGTTGGTGGACATATAGGCTTCCACAATCTAGCTATAATTGTACTGCTATAAACATAGGTATGCATGTATTACTGTACTTTTAACTTTTTTGGGAAGCTATCTAGAAAGGGAATAACTAGGTCAAATGGAATTTCTAGTTTCAAAGTTTTTTTTTTTTTGTTTTGTTTTGAGGAATCTCCATACTGATTTCCACAGTGGTTGTACTAGTTTACATTTCCACCAACAGTGTAGAAGCCCCTACCCTACCCCCATAGCCTCCTGGCATTTATTATTCTTGATGGCTATTCTTTAGAAAAGCTCAACATCACTGGCTGTCAGAGAAATGCGAATTAAATAAATATTCTTAATTCTTTGGGGGGGGTTACCAGGGATCAAACTCATGACCTCATGCTTGCCAGGCAGGTGCTTATGCCACTGAGCTAATCCCTGGCTTAAATAAATATTCTTAAAACACTAAGAAGTAGCTGGGTAAGGTGGTGCATTGGTTCTAATTCCAGAATTCATGAGGCTGAGGCAAGAGGATTGCAAATCTAGGCCACTTTGGACTGTATTTGGAGACCCTGTCTCAAATAATAAACTACTGAAAAGAAAGGGGTATACTGAAGAAAGGCCAAGAAAGTGGTTCAGGCAAAGATAGGATCTTAGAAGGGTAGGCATGGAAAAGAGAAAGAAGTCCTCAGTGTAGGAACCCAGAAGTGGCTGAGTGGGTATGGGTATCAGCTCCATGAAGATTTAGAGGTTAGCACAAGGTCGTGAGTTCAATCCCAGGTACAAAAAAAAAAAAAAAAAAAAAAAAAAAAAAAAAAAAAGGTTGTAATGTCCACTTTGGTGCGATAGAGGAGAGAGGAAACCTGTGAATCATCTAATGAAAATGAAGGTAGCCAGAGATGGAGGCAGCAGAAAGCACAGGTGCACCCTCCACAGGAAATAAGAATGGGGCTCAGATGTTGGATTTAGCAGGGAACTGGAGGCAGTGTGGCTCATTAGTCAGCGCAGGAATTTGTTAAGGCTGCAATCAAGTTTCACATTCCCTGAATCCTGCAGCAGGGGCTGGGGAGTATCTCTGAGGAGGGGGACTGGTACTCCTCCTTCAGGTCCTTGCTCTTACTCTGGCAAAGAGAGAAGTGGGGCTTTTAGGGAGAAATGGACATCAGGGCTGGTACAGTGTGAAGGGAAAGTTTATTTCAAGTGTGGCAAATACAGAGAAAGCAGAAGAGAAACTATCTTAGCATCCAAGTGATGCTTTAAGATAGGAGGTATCTCCCTGGGGATGCCCGATGAGTATGAGATGCACCCAAATTGTTTTGATGCACCCAAATTGTTTTGATGATTGGTGTGGTCTAGGGTCTTAGCCTTTGTTTCTGGGAAGGGGACAGAGTCGGCATACAGTACAGGTAACACTTTCATTAAGAATACAGTAGGGAGGCTGGGCATGGTGATGCATGCCTGTAACCCCAACACTCAAGAGGCTGAAGCAGGGGGATCATTTCAAGTTTGAAGTCAACCTAGACTATGAAGTGAGTCTGAGACCAGCCTGTCAGTGGTATAAGCGCCTGCCTGGCAAGTATGAGGCCAATGAGTTCAATCCCCAATACCAAAAACAAAAAAACAAAAACAAAAACAACCAGCCTGAAATGCATAGTGAAACCTTGTTTGAAACAAACAAAACACACAAGTAGAGTACTTTTTTCAAGCCCATGGTACATGATAAATATGATGATTTTATAATGATCAGCCACAGATAAGCAGGGGATGATTTTACAATGTTAATCATCCATGCTTTGCCCTGGGTTTTTATTTATGTTTCTCTGCCTGTACATTATGTGTGCAACTGTCACCTCTGCTTCTCCCCTATGAAACATAAATAACCTTGACAATGCCTATGTGGCAGGGTTGCTGGGATTATTTGATGAGATGATGCAGGTAAAGCCCTGGACACAGTGCCTGATGAACCAAAATATTCCTTTCCCCTTACATGGATTCAGTAGGTAGAAGCTCTAAAGTGCTAAGAATTATTTGCGCATCTAAAGAGTCATTCTTCCAGGCACTTCTCTCCTAATCTTCCTGGGAGAGCCAGGATTCTGAGTTCCATCCTGGAAAGGCCTCGGTTTGGTTGGCCTGGAGAAAAGAGGAGCTGATGTGGCCAACGGCTGGGAAGCCTGCTGGAAGAGAAGCCAGCTCTCCTACTCCCAGGCTGCTGGCCAACTGGACTGCCTGCATCAGGTCTCCCTGTGAGATTCCTAGGAGAAAGGTGCTGCATGAATGCTGCTCCCTGTTTTATTCCCCAAGCTTTATTCACATTGGGCATTTTGGGAACCTTCTCCCCTCCCACTCCTTCCTCCGGGGAGTCTGCTGCTAACTGAAATGCCACGCTGCAACAGCAGCCTACTCCTTGTGTGTACAGATGTGCTCAGCAGCAGCTGTAACGCAAAGTCTACAACTGTTCCTTAGATCAGCTGCTGTAACTCTTCCTGGGAAAGCAGGCCAGGTGCCCAGGCCTTGCCAAAGTCGTCTTTTCCCGAGACAGGTGAAAGACAGGCATTTGCCTGGCATGGTTCTGCGCGGAGGCTCCTGGAAGGTCGTGGGGACTGGAATGTGGCCCAGTTTTGCTCAGCGGTAGTATGGTAGTACGCAACCCGTAGGGCCATGCATTAGGGGAGACTGGAGAGCAAGGGAGTTGGCAGGGAGTCTTGAGCAGGTTATATAAACACAGTCTTCCCTCTGGGATTCCTGGGAACCTTCAAGTTTGAAAGCCTGGGGGACTTGCTCTGGGAGGTGGGAGCCAGCAGAGAGGACGGAGCAACTCGGGTGGACAGACAGCTGCTGGAGAGGTGACCAGACAGCTGCAGGAGAGGCTAGGGTGTGGGTGCGTCTGGAAACAGAGCCGAACTTGCTCTTGTGAGGCATCGGCCTAGAAGACATCGGTGGCGGGGACCCTGGGCTGCCATGATAGGGCTCCTGTCCCCTGAGTGGGAGTGGGCAGGCGTCCGGAAGAGCAAGCCCAGCAGGCAAACCTGGGAGCAAAGCGCCCCTGGCGGAGAGCCGGGAAACTCGGAGATCCAGAAATCCCAGGTCTGTGGGAACATTTCAACCAGGCGAGT